TTATTACCCAATCTGCTCCTGACATGAAATAAAGCTCCAAAAATTAAATTCCAGCCCACAAACCCCACAACAGGACTTAATTAACCTCGCCTTCAAGGTGTACAATAATAGAGTAGGGGCAACCAAGTAGCAATGTATTTCTGAGTTGCAATTCCTTGCCTCCACTGTGAAACAAACCCTAGCCATATCTCCAGCACACAAGAACTCCAAACGCCTGAACCACAGCTGCCAGGGGTTCCTCCAGAACCTCCTTCCCCAGGAGCTTGCTACAAGTGCCAGAAATCTGGCCACTGGGCCAAGGAATGCCCACAGCCCCGGATTCCTCCTAAGCAGTGTCCCATCTGTGCGGGACCCCACTGGAAATCGGACTGTCAAACTCATCCGGCAGTCACTCCAGAGCCCCTGGAACTCTGGCCCAAGGCTCTGACTGACTCCTTCCCAGATCTTCTCGGCTTAGCGGCTGAAGACTGATGCTGTCCCATCGCCTCAGAAGCCTCCTGGACCATTAAAGATGCTTTGGGTAACTCTTACAGTGGAGGGTAAGTCCGTCCCCTTCTTAATCAATACGGAGGCTACCCACTCCACATTACCTTCTTTTCAAAGGCCTTTTTCCTTTGCCTCTGTAACTTGTGGGTATTGATGGCCAGGCTTCTAAACCCCTTAAAACTCCCCAACTCTGGTGCCAACTTGGACAACATTCTTTTAAGCACTCCTTCTTAGTTATCCCCAACTGCCCAGCTCCCTTATTAGGTTGAGACATTTTAACTAAATTATCTGCTTCCCTGACTACTCCTGGGCTACAGCCACACCTCGTTTCTGCCTTTTTCCCCAGTTCAAACCCTCCTTCACATCCTCCCCTTGTATCCCCCCACCCTAATCCACAAGTATAGGACTCCTCTACTCCCTCCTTGGCGACCGATCAGGCACCCCTTACCATCTCATTTAAACCTAATCACCTTTACCCCAATCAACACCAATATCCCATCCCGCAGCACGCTTTAAAAGGATTAAAGCCTGTTATCACTCACCTGTTACAGCAAGGCCTTTTAAAGCCTATAAACTCTCCTTACAATTCCCCTATTTTACCTGTCCAAACACCGGACAAATCTTACATGTTAGTTCAGGATCTGCACCTTATCAACCCAATTGTCTTGCCTGTCCACCCCGTGGTGCCAAACCCATATACTCTCCTATCCTTAATACCTCCCTCCACAACCCATTATTCTGTTCTGGATCTCAAACATGCTTTATTTACTATTCCTTGCACCCTTCATCCCAGCCGCTTTTCGCTTTCACTTGGACTGACCCTGACACCCATCAGGCTCAGCAAATTACCTGGGCTGTACTGCCACAAGACTTCACAGACAGCCCCATTACTTCAGTCAAGCCCAAATTTCTTCCTCATCTGTTACCTATCTCAGCATAATTCTTCATGAAAACACATGTGCTCTCCCTGCTGATTGTGTCCGGCTAATCTCCCAAACCCGAATCCCTTCTACAAAACAACAACTTTCCATACTAGGCATGGTTAGGTACTTCCGCCTTTGGATACCTAGTTTTACCATCCTGACTAAACCATTATGTAAACTCACAAAAGCAAACCTAGCTGACCCCATAGATCCTAAATCCTTTCACTACTCCTCTTTCCATTCCTTAAAAACAGCCGTAGAAGCTGCCCCCATGCTGGCTCTCCCTAACTCATCCCAACCCTTTTCATTACACACAGGCAAAGTACAGGGCTGTGCAGTTAAAATTCTTACACAAGAGCCGGGACTGTGCCCTGTAGCCTTTCTGTCCAAACAACTTGACCTTACTGTTTTAGGCTGGCCCCCATTCCCATGACTGTATCTCCCTGATCCACCTGACATTCACTCCATTTCCCTGTATTTCCTTCTTTCGTGTTCCTCACCCTGATGACAGTTGGTTTACTGATGGCAGTTCCACCAGGCCTAATCACCACACACCAGCAAAGGCAGGCTATGCTATAGTATCTTCCACATGTATCATTGAGGCTACTACTCTGCCCTACTCCACTACCTCTCAGCAAGCCAAACTCATTGCCTTAACTCGGGCCCTCACTCTTGCAAATGGACTATGTGTCAATATTTATACTGACCCCATATCCTGCACCACCATGCTGTCTTATGGGCTGAAAGGTTTTCTCACTATGCAAGGGTCCTCCATCATTAATGCCTCTTTAATAAAAAACTCCTCTCCAGGCAGCTTTACTTCCAAACGAAGCTGGAGTCATACACTGCAAGGGCCATCAAAAGGCATCAGATCCCATCACTCAGGGCAATGCTTATGCTGATAAGGTAGCTAAAAAAGCAGCTAGCGTTCCAACTTCTATCCTTCATGGCAGATTTTCTCCTTCTCACCTGGTCACTCCCACCTACTCCCCCACTGAAACTTCCACCTGTCAATCTCTTCCCACACAAGGCAAATGGTTCTTGGACCAAGGAAAATATCTCATTCCAGCCTCACAGGCCCATTCTATTCTGTCGTCATTTCATAACCTCTTCTATGTAGATTACAAGCTGCTAGCCCACCTCTTAGAACCTCTCATTTCCTTTCCATCGTGGAAATCTACCCTCAAGGAAATCACTTCTCAGTGTTCCATCTGCTATTCTACTACTCCTCAGGGATTATTCAGGCCCCCTCCCTTCCCTACATATCAAGTTCGGGGATCTGCCCCCACCCAAGACTGGCAAATTGACTTTACTCACATGCCTCAAGTCAGGAAACTAAAATACCTCTTGGTCTGGGTAGACACTTTCACTGGATGGGTAGAGGCCTTTCCCACAGGGTCTGAGAAGGTCACCACGGTCATTTCTTCCCTTCTGTCAGACATAATTCCTAGGTTTGGCCTTCCCACCTCTATACAGTCTGATAACGGACCAGCCTTTATTAGTCAATTCACCCAAGCAGTTTCTCAGGCTCTTGGTATTTAGTGGCTCCTGGTTTTACCTCAAACTGCCACCCTTAAGTATCTCTTTAAGTGGATAGAAGATCTTCAGTGACAAAATACACTCCAATACTTTCACCCTGATGAAGTCCTGTTCTTTACTTTTATACTTACTCTTATTCTCATTCCTATTCTTATGCCACCCTCTACCTCTCCCCAGCTATCTCCACCACACTATCAATCTCACTCACTCTCTCCTAGCCATTTCTAATCCTTCTTTAACAAACAATTGCTGGTTTTGCATTTCTCTTTCCTCCAAATTCAACGAGGCCCTGACCTACTGCTAAAAAAAAGGGGGGGGGACTCTGTATATTTTTAAATGAAGAATGTTTTTACCTAAATCAATCTGGCCTGGTATATGACAACATAAAAAAATTCAAGGATAGAGCTCCAAAACTCACCAACCAAACAAATAATTACACTGAACCCCCTTGGACACTGTAGTTGAATGTCCTGGGTACTCCCAGTTCTTAGTCCTTTAATACCTGTTTTTCTCTTTCTCTTATTTGGATGTTGTGTCTTTTGTTTAGTTTCTCAATTCATACAAAACTGCATCCAGGCCATCACCAATAATTCTATATGACAAATGCTCCGTCTAACAACCCCACAATATCATCCCTTACCCCAAAATCTTTCTTCAGTTGAATCTCTCCCACTGGAGGCTCCCATGCCGCCCCTAATCCTGCTCAAAGCAACTCTGAGAAACATCGCCCATTATCTCTCCATACCACTTCCAAAAATTTTCGCCTCCCCAACACTTTACCACTATTTTGTTATTTCTTATTAATATAAGAAGACAGGAATGTTAGGCCTCTGAGCCCAAGCTAAGCCATCATATCCCCAGTGACCTGCACGTATACATCCAGATGGCCTGAAGCAACTGAAGATCCACAAAAAGAGTGAAAATAGCCTTAACTGATGACATTCCACCATTGTGATTTATTTCTGCCCCAACCTAATTGATCAATGTACTTTGTAATAGCCCCTACCCTTAGGAAGGTTCTTTATAATCTTCCCCCATCCTTAAGAAGGTTCTTTGTAATTCTCCACACCCTTGAGAATGTACTTTGTGAGATCCACCCCCTACCCCCAAAACACTGCTCTTAGTTCCACCGCCTATCCCAAAACCTATAAGAACAAATGATAATCCCACTACCCTTTGCTGACTTCTTTTTTGGACTCAGCCCACCTGTACCCAGGTGAAATGAACAGCCATGTTGCTCACACAAAGCCTGTTTGGTGATCTCTTCACATGGACGCATGAGACACTGACCAGAGATACGCCACTCCTGAGATAATCTCCCCTCCGGCCAGAGAAATGTCAGCCCCAAGATAACCTCCCCTCCAAACAGAGATATTCCAACCCCACAATAAACTTCTCACCCACACAGAAACATTCCAAGCCTGTGATAAGCTCTCTCACCCTAAAACCAAGATATACTCTGTCTGTAAGAGAGAGGGTTCCTGATTGAAATTGACCAGAAGCCCCTCTCAGGTTTACGCTCCAAAAATAAACCTTTTTTTGTTGAGTTTCTTTTTTTTTTTTTTTCTTTTTTTTTTTTTTTTTTGGTGACATGATCTTGGTTCATTGCAACCTCTTCCTCCCTAGTTCAAGCAATTCTCCTGCCTCAGCCTCCCAAGTAGCTGGGACTACAGGTGCATGCCACCACGCCCAGCTAATTTTTGTATTTTTAGTAGAGACAGGGTTTCACCATGTTGGCCAGGATGGTCTCCATCTCTTGACCTCATGATCCGCCCACCTCAGCTTCCCAAAGGGCTTGGATTACAGGCATGAGCCACCATGCCTGGATCTTTCTTCTTTTTTTTGTAACTCATACAGATCTGGCAGCACAATGCCTAGAATATCACAGGCAGTCAAAGTAAGTTTATTGCTGTACATGAAGTACAAAATTTCCTCTAAAACCTAGAATTTAGTTGTGTGTAAATGTTCTTAAGTATCTGTAGGTCCATTACTCCTTACTTATTTACTGCTGCCTTCTGGAGAAGGAGAAATTTTGTGAAACTTCACACTTACTGTTTTCTATTATCTCGCCTATGAGGAAACCAAAAGTGCCTGAAAAGTAGCTGAGTAGGAGAAGTTTGATGTAGGCAGAAGTACTTCCAGAAAACACAAAGCTTATCAGGTACACAAAGGGAATGGCAGACCAGCCATACAGCGTGAAGATCAGCATAGTTTCCAGAATGTGGTAATCCGTGACATAAATATCTAACTTGCGGTATTTTATCACTCCCTGAAACACAAAGGGTACAGAGATAAAGGCAAAGTGAAGGGCAAGTGAAAAAAGAAACTAAGCCAAAACATTTAGAGAAGGAAATAGCAAGTCCTGTCTTTATTTAGCATGGAACTAGTCATTAATTAAGTCAATCTGCCTCTTAAAACATCACTGGTCATTTCAGAAATGCAAATCAAAACCACAATGAGATACCATCTTATGCCAGTTAGAATGGTGATTATTAAAAAGTCAGGAAACAACAGATGCTTGTGAGGCTGTGGAGAAATACGAATGCTTTTACACTGTTGGTGGGAGTGTAAACCAGTTCAACCACTGTGGAAGACAGTGTGGTGATTCCTCAAGGATCTAGAACCAGAAATACCATTTGATCCAGCAATCCCATTACTGGGTATATACTTAAAGGATTATAAATCATTCTGCTATAAAGACACATGCACATATATGTTTATTGCAGCACTATTTACAATAGCAAAGACTTGGAACCAACCCAAATGCCCATCGATGACAGACTGGATAAAGAAAATGTGGCACATACACACCATGGAATACTATGCAGCCATAAAAAGGAATGAGTTGATGAGCTTTGCAAGGACATGGATGAAGCTGGAAGTCATCATTCTCAGCAAACTAACACAGGAACTGAAAACTAAACACCACATGCTCTCGCTCATAAGTGGGAATTGAACAATGAGAATGCATGGACACGTGGAGGGGAACATCACACACAGGCCTGTCAGAGGATAGGGAACAAGGGGAGGGAGAGTATTAGGACAAATATCTAATGCATGCAGGGCTTAAAACCTGGATGACAGGTTGATAGGTGCAGCAAACCACCATGGCACATGTATACCTATGTAACAAAACTGCATGTTCTGCACATGTATCCCAGAACTTAAAGTAGAATAATCAACAAAACAAAAACTTCAGCCCTGGGGATGGGCATTGTGGCTCACGCCTGTAATTCCAGCATTTTGGGAGGCTAAGGATCAGGAGGTGGGGATTGCAGTGTGTTGTGATTGTGCCAGTGCACTCCGGCCTGGGTGACAGAGTGAGACCTGTCTCAAAAAAACAAAACAAAACAAAACAAAACAAAAAATCAAAACCTTATCCCACGAGGATGAAGTAAGTTATTTTTACCTCTTCATCAGAGGGCATTCCAGTGAGCAGAGCCACTACACTTTCCTTTATTATTTTCTTTTCTACTTGGAACAGTTATTGCAATAATACTGGCAAGTTTCCCAGAAAGTAGATTATTTCTCCAAAGACACACTTTCTCCAAAGATTTTTTTCTTTGACTACATAACTTACCTATCACTCTACCCACTGCTATACACCTTTAAACTGGGCTACCAGGTTCTATTCTACTTCCCCACTTCTCCCTCACATTCACCAAAGCCACTAAACCAGACAGTGGAACACAAAATTAGAATGGATGGTGGTGGTGGAGAGGAACCTGTAGCTGTGAAAAGAAATAAATCTCTGGAAATTTATATCTCATTAGTTAATAGATATCACTTCTCCACAAATGACAAGATGGTCCCTTTGGGCAATTACATGATTATGTAGCAAGACAAGCAAGAAGTAAATAGTAAGATTAAGCTAAGAATAATCATTATATTGGCTGATGTTCTTGGTGGTGGTAGCAAAAATAAGAGAAGATTTGCGGGTAATAGATGAATCCAGTCCCTGAAGCTGTAATTATTTTGTTTGTGACTAAGCATTCTGTAAACCTAAAAGAATAAATAAAATGAAGAAATCAAATAAAAGTTAGCGTGACCTAGGAATTTCTGTGTTCAAAGTCTTATGATCCTTCAATGTCACAAATCATAACCTATTTCAAAGAAAAGCTGAATTCTGGGCTGGGTGCAGTGACTCCTGCCTGTAATCCTGGCACTTTGGGAGGCCAAGGCAGGCAGATCATGAGGTCAGGAGATCAAGACCATCCTGGCTAACACAGTGAAACCCCGTCTCTACTAAAAAAAAAAAAAAAAAAAAAAAAATTAGCCAGGCGTGGTGGCAGGCGACTGTAGTCCCAGCTACTCGGGAGGCTGAGGCAGGAGAACGGCGGGAACCCAGGAGGTGAAGCTTGCAGTGAGCCGAGATTGCACCACTGCACACCAGCCTGGGTGACAGAGCAAGACTCTGTCTCAAACAAAAACAAAAACAAAAACAAAAACAAAGAAAACGCTGAATTCCTTGTTGGATAAGTAAGTAACATAGTTGTTCTTGGACAAGAGACTCATGCATTGTGAATATTTAGATTCTACTCAACTTAATCTACCAGTGAAAATGCAAACAAAATTTTTAAGTAAATATTTTAACCTCTTTATTATGAAATATACCACATATTCAGAAAAGTATATATAACATAAATGAATTATCATAATGAATTATCACAAAGCACTTCCCTGGGAAACTACCACAATGCCAATACCCACAGAAGCCTATCAGAAACTCCTCCAATCCCTGTAAAAGTAACCACTATTCCTGGCACTATTAAGTTGCTTTCTGTGTCTATGAATTTACCTATTTTGGACATTTTAAGTAAATGGAATCATGCAATATATGGCCTTTTGTCCCTAGCTTATTTCAGTTAGCATAATTTTTTAAGGTTCATGCAAGCTGTAGCAGGTATCAGCATTTCATTCTTGATTATGGTTAAGTAATGTTCCATTGTATTGATATACCGTATTTTATTTATCCATTTATGAACATTTGGGACTTTCATTTTCAAGTATTTAAAAAATTGATGTTTGCAGTTCTCTTGGGTATAAATCTAGGAGTGTAATTGCTGAATCATATGGTAATTGTATGTTTAATTTTTGAAGAACCACAAAACTGTTTTACATGACAGTTGAAACATTTTACATTTCTTCTTTTGTTATCCTAATGATTTTTGTTGTAAAGTCTGCTTTGAATATTATTAAAGCTATACTAGTTATCTTTTAAAGAAGCTCTTTCATCATTTTATTTTCAAATTATTTGTGTCAGTGAACCTAAAGTGAGTCTCTTGTAGGTATCAGACAGTTAGATTATGTTTTTGGAATCATTCTACTAATGCCCTACTTTTAATTTGAGTTTAATCCATTTATATTTAATGTAATTACTTGTAAGTTTTTCTGTCATTTGGTTATATATTACATCATTATATTTTTCCATTCATTTATTCTGCCATTTGTGTTGAATAGATATTTTTGAGTGTGCCATTTAATTCTATTGTCTTTTAAGATTCCATGTAGTTGGGTTGTTATATTAGTGGTTGGAAATTACAATAAACATCCAATTCATAACAATACAATTTAGATTAATACCAACTTAATTTCAATATAATACAAATATTTTGTACCTATATAGCTAACCTCTCTGCCTTTTATGCTATTATTATCACAAATTACATCTTTATACATTGTGTGTCTATCATGATAGATTTATAACTATTGCTTTACACAGATGCCTTTTAAATGAAAAAATATAAGAGCTATAAACAAAAATATATTAATACTGCATTTTACATTTATCTGTGTTTTTACTTGTCTGGTATCCTTTATTTCTTCATTTGGATTTGAGTTACTATCAAGTGTCCTTTCATTTCAGACTGAAGAATTCTCTTCAGAATTTCTTGTAGGACATGATTGCTAGCAACAGTCTATTAGTTTTTTTTTTTTTTTAATTTGGAAATGTATAATTACTCCTTATTTTCTTTTAATGTAAAAGGAACATTAAACATAAGATTTACATTCTTAATATATTTTTAAGTGTAAAATATATGATTGTTAACTGTAGGTACAATCTTTTACTACAAATCTCTAAGGCTTATTTATCTTGTTTGAGTGAAACTTTATGCTCCCCGATTAGTAACTTTCCATTATCCTATTCTCCAAGCCCCTAGCAGCCACCATTCAACTATTTGATTTTATACATTTGACTATTTTAGATATATCATGTAAGTGGAATCATGAAATATTTGACTTTCTGTGATTGCTTTATTTTACTTAGCATAATGTCCTCAAGATTCATTCATATTGTAGCAAATGTCAGAGTCATCTTATTTATTTTTTTATTTTTGAGAGATGGAGTCTCATTCTGTTACCCATGTTGGAGTGCAATGGCGCGATCTCGGCTCACTGCAACTTCCACCTCCTGGGTTCAAGCGATTCTCCTGCCTCAGTTTCCCAAGTAGTTGGAACTACAGGCATGTGCCACCACACCCAGCTAATTTTTGTATTTTTTAGTAGAGACAGGGTTTCACTAGATGTTGGCCAGGCTGGTCTCAAACTCCTGACCTCAGGTGATCCACTCACCTCGGCCTTCCAAAATGCTGGGATTATAGGCGTGAGCCACTGTGCCCAGCCAGAATCATCTTATTTTTTAAGTCTGAATAATATTCCATTGTATGTATATACCACATTTTCTTTATCCATTCATCTGTTGATGAATGTTTAGGCTTTTTTTTTTTTTTTCACATTTTAGCTATTATGAATAGTGTTCAGTGAATTAGGAGTGATGGTAGATCTTTGAGATCCTGATTTGAACTCTTTTTGACAAATAATCAGAAATAGGATTGTCTGATAATATGGTAGTTCTATTTTTAATATTCTGAGGAACCACCACATTGTTTTTCATAGCAGGGGCACCATTTTGCATTCCCACCAACAGTTGGCAAGGGTTCCAATTTGTACAAACTTTACCAATACTAGTTATCTCTTTATAAAATCTTTTTTTAAAAAAAGTCATCATAATAGGTGTGAGGTGATTATCTCATGGTTTTGACTTGCATTTCCCTGATGACTAGGAAAATTGAGCAAATGTTCATATGCCTGTTGAATATTTATATCTTCTCCTGAAAAAAATCTATTCAATTCCTTTGCCCATTTTTAAATTAGGTTATTTTTTGCTATTGAGTTGTAAGAATTCCTTATATATTTTGGATATTAACCCCTTTTAAGAGGTATGATTTATAAATATTTCCTCCCATTCTGTAGATTTTTCTCTTGACTCTACTGATTGTTTCCTTTACTATGCAGAAGCTTTTTAGTTTGATGTAATCCCAATTTTCTATTTTTGCTTTTATTGCCCGTGCTTTTGGGGTCATAAAAAAGAATGTTTCCCCTATGTTTTCTTCTAGTAGCTTTATAGCTTCAGGACTTACATTTAAGTCTTCATTATATTTTAAGTTGATATCTGTATGTGGTGTGAAATAAGGGTCTAAATGGATTCTTTTGCATGTGGATATCCAGATTTCCCAACACAATGTATTGAAGAGACTGTTCTTTCCCCATTGTGTGCTCCTGTCACCTTTGTAAAAAATTAACTGGTGGTAAATGCATGAGTTTATTTCTGTACTCTATTTTTTCCACTAGTCTATATTTCTATTTTTATGCAAAGAAGGTCCTTTTTAAACTAAGAATATGGTAAAGTTTCTACCACCAGACTTTTGCAATGTGTTTTCCAAGATAATAAGCAAAGATGGTTTATTGACAAGAGCTAGATTTCATAACCATTAGAATAGTAATTTTCCAAGAGGTACAAAAGGAAAACAAACCCTCAAGGAACTTCATTTCACACTCACCATTACTAAGCAGCAGGAGGCAAAGAAGATGATGAAATCACACAATAGGGCAGAAAGCCAGTACACAATGACAGAGACACCACTCACAAACTGGATGTGCTTCGCCTTAGTGGTTCTCTCAGTCACTGTCAGGAGACAAAAACCATTGATCAAAAGAGCCATGCCAAATTGTAAATTTATGGCCAATTTTTGTCCACTTTGAAGCCTACAAAAGAAGACATATCAGAAAATCAACACAGCAGAAAATACAGATTTCAATCAATAGCTATTTTTATCATATAACTGTAATCAGATAAAGTGGAAATAATGTATTTAAAGAGTAAAATTGAATTCAAAAGAAAAGAATAACATACTCTTCATTGTCTTCAATATCAGGGAGTGGCTGAGGTTTATTGGAGACTGTTAAGGAAGCATTGGCACCAGAAAGTGACTTGAAAAGAATGTTGTCTAACACTGCCAGGGCCACAGATGGTGAATGATATGCTTCATTGTTGAACAGAGCAGTAAGCATTACCATATTTGCCTCCGACTCAATAGAAAGTGCAATGATACATAAACGAATACAATCTTTTGTTTCCCTCAAGTACTTCAGTAGGTCACCTAGGATGAGAAAACAATACTGATCGGTGTGTCTACAATACAGATAACCTATAACATACGCCAGAGAAGAGGAACAGATAATTTTACTTCTCATCACCTTCAATTTTCCCATAATGACTACTTCAAACATTTGCGGTTCCCCTCCAGCACTTTACTTCATCATTACATTCCAAGCTCTCTCACTTTATAGCCTATATCCTAAACTACTACTTCACTGAGAAAACATAGACTCTCTCAACTTATTTATCTATCTTATACTGATTTATAAGTGTTTTCATTTATAGCTTTGCTAATCTTACAGCAGACAAAACTTTCCTCTGGAAAGCATAGAAGCGAACTAAAAACATTCAAAAATATCACCTCATTAAGGATATTAGACATCTAAGAAAACTATCAACATTTGGGCAGAATGGAAATGCACTGAGATGAGTCCAACATTCTACATTCTTTTTTTCTTTGAGGCCTTTATAGATTTGTAAATGGTAGAGGTACCTTAGTAAATCCTCAGGCTCTCTGTGGGGCTCAAGAAGGGTAATACCCTCACAGAAATAGTGAGTAAGAAATAAACCAATTCTTTCTTTAAGAGATCAGGTCTCACTGGGTTTCCCAGGCTGGAGTGCAGTGGGAAATATTCATAGGCATGATAATAGTGCACCACAGCCTCAAATTCCTAGGCTCGTGTGACCCTCCCATGTAAGTCTCCCAAGCAGCTGGGACTACAGACCCTTGCCACCATGCCCAGCTTAATAGACACATTCTTATAAAAATTTAAACCCAGCCTCAAATTACTTCAATCCATGATTGGATTTAGATCTTTCCTTAATCTTACTGTCTGCCAGAAGTAAAACTGAATCTCCTCTGGAGAAGATAATCTCATGCAGAATCTTCATAATTTTCATACACAGTATCTGGCATTGAATTAAGAAATTATCAATTCCACTAAGAAAGAGAACCAAGAGAAAGCACAGACAATAGAAACAGATTCATTGATGACCCAGGTAGCAAAGATAGAGAATTTACCAGAGAACTGGAGTCCATGGAAATAATCAAATGTTTATGTCAGAATTAAAAAACACATTAATTACAATTAAGAAGTTAATATATAACTATAGTGGGTTGAGCACAAATAAAGTGTAGGTCAGGGCACTGGAAGACAAGGGATTAGAATACCCAGACAAAAGCACAGTGGATGGAAAACAAGAGAGAAGACACACATCACTGATGTCAGGAATGAAACAGAGAAAATCACTACCCATCATGCAGACATAAAAAGGGTAAAGGAATTCTATGGTTAACTCTACACAAATGTCACGGCTAATTTTATGTATCAACTTGACTGGGTTGAGGGATACCCAAGTAGCTGGTAAGGCATTATTTCTGGGCATGTCTGTGAGGGTATTTCCAGACAAGATTAGCATTTGAATCAGTAGACTGACTAAAGCACCTCACCAATGTGAGTGGCCATCATCCAATCCATTGAGGGACCAAATAGAACAAAAGGGTGAAAAAGGGCAACTTTTTTCTCTTCATGAACGAAAATGCACCATCTATTTTCTCCTGCCCTTACACATTAGCACTCCTGATTCTCAGACTTTTGGACTCTGGGACTTACACCAGTAGCCACCTTGGTTCCCAGGCCTTTGGCCTCAGACTGAATTACTGGCTTCCTGGGTATACAGCTTGCATACAGCATATTATGGGACTTCTTGGCCTCTATAATCACATGAGCCAATTCCTCTAATAAATATTTTCTTTATACATTTCTCTCTCTGTCTCTGTCTCTGTCTCTGTTTCTCTCTCTCTCTCTATATATATACACACACACACACACATATATATGTGTATCCTGCAACTTTGATGAACTCATTTATTAGTTCTAGAAATTTTTCTTGTTTGTTCTTTGGGATTCTCTATGTAGACAATCACATCATCTGCAAATAAGAGCAATTTTCTTTCTTTGTGATCTGTATGCCTTTTGTTTCCCATATATATATATATCCTGTTGGTTCTGCTTTTCTAAATAACTCTAATACAACACATAGATTTGATGACTTAGATGAAAGGGACCACTTCCTCAAAACATACAACTACGACAACTCAATAGGAAGTAGATCATTGAATAGCAATAATTATTAAGAAAATGTAATTCTCAACTAAAAATTCCATAAAAAAGAAGTCTCCAGGCCCCAATATTTTCACTGAAGAATCGTATCAAATGCTTAAAGAAGAATAAGCACTAATTAGACACAACATATTTTAGGAAACAGAATCAGGAACATTTCTCAATTTGGTTTATAATGAAACCACACCAAGACAGTACAACAAAAGTAAACTACAGATAAATATCCTTTATGAATATAGATGCAAAACTCCTTAACAAAATATTAGCCAACAGAATTCAACAATTTATACAAAGAATTATGCACCATGACCAACTGGAATCTATTCCAGGGATACAAGGCTGGTTCAATATTTGAATATCAATTAATATCACCCTCCATATTAATAGACTAACAAGGAAAACTTACATAATTATACAAATCTGTGCAGAAAAAACTTTTGAGAAAACTCAATAAGCACTCATGATTAAAAAAAAAACTGAGCAAAATAGTAGAGCAGAACTTCTTTAACTTTATATAAAGCATCTAAAAAATTCCTTACCGCTAACATTATACTTAGTGGAGAAAGACTGTATACCTTTTTTCCTAACATTGGAACAAAGAAAAACAATCAGTCTCACTACTCTGATTCAATATAGTGATGGAAGTTCTATCCAGTGTAATAAAGTATAAATGGGAACCAAAAGGCATACAGATCACAAAGAAAGAAAATTGCTCTTATTTGCAGATGATATGATTGTCTACATAGAGAATCCCAAGGAACCAACAAGAAAAATTTCTAGAACTAATAAATGAGTTCATCAAAGTTGCGGGATACATGATAACCATATAAGAATAAAAAATAATTATATGCTAGAATAAACATCTGGATACCAAAATTAAAAGGTTAATACCATTTACATTAACTGAAAAATGAAATATTTAGGCATAAATTAACAACCTATGTGCAGGACTTGTATGCTGAAAACTACAAGCGCTGATGAAAGAAATAAAAGTTCTAAATCAATAAAGGGACATCATACATTCATGGATTCAAAGACTATACTCAGTAAAGATGTCAATTTTCTTCAATTTACTATACAGATTTAATCCAATTTCTGGCAAATTTCCAAGTTTTTATGCAGGTATAGACAAACTTATTTCAAAATGTATATGGAGGAGCAAAGGAACTAAAATAGCCAAAACAACTTTTAAAAACAAGAATAAAGTGGGAGGAACCAGTCTACCAGATTTCAAGTGTGCCATTGGTTGAAGGAATAGATACATAGATTATTGGAATAGAATAGAAAATCCCAAAATAGACCCAAACATGCCCAACTCTTTTTGATAAAGGTGCAAAATAATTAAATGAATATCATCATTCAGTAATGGAGCAATTGCTGCCGGAGCAATTGGAGATGCACAGGCACAAAAATTAACCTTGACTCAGATATCACACCTTATGCTAAAATTAAGTCAAAGTAGATAATAAATATAAAACGTAAAGCTATAAAACTTTTAGAAAACTGTAAATCTTTTTAGGAGAAAATCTTCAAGATTTAGGGCTAGGTGGAGAGTTCTTAGACCTGACATCAAAAGCATGATCAATAAAAGAAAAAAATACATTAAACTTTATAAAAATTAAGAAATTTTGCCCTGAAAAAAAATTGTTAGGGTGATGATAATCTACAGCATGAGAGAAAACAATTTTAAAAACTGTTTAAAACTCTATAGTAAAAAACACCAAAAATTAAACTAAAAAATAGGGAAAATTGATAAACACACATTTCACCGGAGATGATGTTCAAATGGAAAATAAGCACATGAAAAGATGTAGAAATGCAAGTCAGGGAAAGGTAAGCTGAAACTACAGTGATATACCACTACTCACTTATCACAATGGCCAAAACAAAAATAGTGACAATACCAAATGCTGGTGAATATGCAGAGAAACTGGATCACTCATACATTGCTGAGGGAAATGTAAAATGACACAGTCACTCTGGAAAGCAACTAGGTAGTTTTTTAGAAAACTAAACACGCAACAGCCCTGTTGCTAGAAAAAATTTAAAAAGAAGCTATGCCCAGTGTTCCCCTTACTTGTTGCAAGTAATAAAAATCCCCTTGTTGAGTTTCCTAGACAGTAAAAGACAATTGTCTGTAAACAGACAATCCACAGAACAGGAGAAAATTTTTGCAAACTATGCATCCAACAAAGATCTAATATCCAGCACCTACAAAGAATTTAAACAAATTTACAAGAAAAAAACAAACTCATAAAAAAGAGGGCCAACGACATGAACAGAGACTTTGCAAAAGACGACATACACGTGGCCAATGTTCATATAAAGAAAAGCTCAACATCACTGATCATTAGAGAAATGCAAATCAAAACCACAATGAGTTACCATCTCACACCAGTCAGAAGAGCTATTATTATTATAATTAGCTTATTTTATTTATTCATTTATTTTTATTTTTTAAGTTTGGGGGTACATGTGCAGGATGTGCAGGTTTGTTAAATAGGTAAATGTGTGCCATGGTGGTTTGCTGCACCTATCAACCCATCACCTAGGTACTAAGCTCAGCATGCATTAGCTGTTTTTCCTAATGCTCTTTCCCCGCATCCTCCAACAGGCCCCAGTGCGTGTTTTTCCCCTCCCTGTGTCCCTGTATTGTTCAGCTCCCACTTATAAGTGAGAACATGAGGTGTTTTCTGTTCCTGTACTAGTTTGCTGAGGATAATGGCTTCCAGCTTTATCCATCTCCTTGCAAAGGACATTTCTTTTTATAGCTACATAGTATTCCATGGTATATATGTACCATATTTTCCTTAACCAATCTATCATTGATGGGCATTTGGGTAGATTCCACGGTCTACATGTACATGTGCAAGTATCTTTACAACAGAATGATTTATATTCCTTTGGATATATACCCAGTAATGGAATTGTAGGGTCCAATGGTATTTCCAGTTCTAAATCTTTGAGGAATCACCACACTGTCTTCCACAATGGTTGAACGAATTTACATTCCCACCAACAGTGTAAAAGTGTTCCTATTTCTCTACAACCTCACCAGCATCTGTTGTTTCTTGACTTTTAAGAATAGCTATCATTTAAAAAGCAAAAAACAAACAAACAAAAAAACAAAAAACAAAACACACATATGTAACACACATATTACCTGTGTAACAAGGTAAACTTGTATCTTTACTTGTTGTCTCTTTACATAAGATTTACTGACCTCTGCTGTCATATGTTAAATAAAACATTTACAGTTTGGCTTTAGATAAAATAAAACACACAAAAATCTTAGTTCATGTACCCATGAACTTAAAAGTTAAAACAAAACAAATAAATTAAAAAATCTGAAAAAATGAGGGCATTCTTTGACTTGAATATAACTGTCTCTAAGACATTTGTGACTAACAGGGGAAGGATAGAGTGGGTAGCCAAACACTATAGTTAAGACCACCTTTGGAAGTAACACAAGAAGGTCATCTCTGAGAGCAGTTCTTTTTTTTTTCCTCAGTGAGCTTTACCTTGTACTTCCTGAGGTCTTTGGTTGTCAGACTTGAGCATACTCTTAAGGCGTTCTGAGAGATCTGCAGTCAAATTAGAAGCCCCAGAAATAGAAAAGGGCACAATGGTTTGACCATATTGACTCAACTCCATTTGCCTAATCATTTCATGCTGTGAAGAATTTTTACTAGAACTTAAGAGAAAGGCAAGGGAGCCTATGAGTCCCAGTATCTGTAACAAAAGCAGTTTCCAGTTGCGCCAGTTGAACATCACCCTCTTTACGAACATGGCACAGAACTGCTGGCTGTAGAGAGAACACTAAGGAAAAATGAGAAAAAGATAACATTACAATAGGTATAGACTTAAACATGCCATTCATGTTGAACTCCATTAAGACGAATGCTTTGAAATTCTGTGGTATGAACATACACAAGTTTTATATTACAAACACATAAAGTTTATAGAAGTAAGTATTTGGAATAGAACCTAAGTGTAGTATGACAGGACACAATTGTATGATCAATCTTTTCTTTGTATGAGGCAGGGGTCAACAAACTATGGCCCTATGGCCTGTTTTTATAAACAAAGTTTTATTGGAACACAGCGATGCCCATTTATTTCTGTATTTTCATGGTTGTTTTTGTGCTATAATGACAGACTTGAGTAATTGTGAAAGACACCAGATGGCCTACTAAGACTTCAATATTTGTTGTCTCTTTACATAAGGTTTACTGACCTCTGCTGTAATATATTAAATAAAATGTTTACAGTTTGGCTTTAGATATAACACACAAAAATCTTAGAAGGATGATTTTCCTCAGACTCCTGATAGCCAAGAAAACTAGGGTGCTTTATAGAAGGAGTAGATGATTATAAGAAGAATGAAGAAAATATTTGGCAACTCAGAATTCCAATGTGAAGGATCATACTAATTAGGGAACCATCCCTTACACAGTAACAATTCCCAATAGGAAAACTTAGAATACTTAAAATATTGTGCATATTGAATTATTAAAAATCAGGCTTACTAGTACCCTTAACTTAGCCTCAATAAACCAACACATTTTGTGGTTACTGATTTGATAAGAAATGAATTCTAAAACAGAAAATGGATGGAGGAATAACAATGGTGAAAGCAAACCATTGCTATCTTATCTAAAACCCATCATTTCTGCATTAGAAAACTGATTAGGAAGTGGCACAGACTGCTTGCCATCTATCTGATCGACGAAGTGTACCTCTTGCACTCCAACCATATCTACACCAGGTTTCTTGGTAAAGGTGCTTACCCCAGTATTAAAGTTAATAGTAGGGCTTTCATTCAGGGTGGGAGGATCTGCTCCCTCAACATTTCTTGACATGTTCTTATTCTGGTTCCTGTTGGAGGCTTGGCCCATTTGGGAGGAAGACTTCAGAGCTTCGATATCTGTTTGTGACTCTTCCGTGTAACCGACCCTACATAAAAAAGCACAAAGTATTTCATTTCAATCTTATTCCAAAGTATCCTGTTTGAAGAATGTGAGTTGCAGCCCCCAACTCAGAAGGCTCCTTGGTGCGCTCATTGCCTGGCAGAAATCATTACTTGGAAGCAACATGGTACTTGTGGTAGAGCAATGGTTCCCAAACACACCCCGTTGCCCTTAAATTTCTATTGGATGAAACCTGAAAGTCTGGAGAACTTACAAAGGGAACTAAGACATGTTCTTTTCCCTCCAGAGATTTTCTTTTCCCTATACATTGTCACTCACTTGAAGAAGACTTCTTCCATGGTAGTGACAGAGGCACCAACGCTAGAAATGCCCAGGTTTTCTTGTTCTTGTTCCAGAGCAGTAAACAGAGCTTCAAAACTAGGAGTAGAAGAGGAACAGAAAAAGCTAGCACCAAACCAGATGATTTTCATATTTATGTCTTTTTCTTCTAAGATAATTTCCTCTCAGTAGTAGGGAAAATGTAGATCATTTTACATTTCAATGCTTATTATAAGTTTATGCCTCTGGTAAATCAGAAAGGTGGGACAAATGGAGAGAAAGAGACTAGCAAATTGCTACAGCAATTTATTCTCTGAATTTTGTACAGTGCACACATATCAATTTCATACTTAAAGTAAAAGAGAAAAAGAAAATATGGTGAATCCACTCTACTTAGTTCTTGGATAACCATATTGTTGGTCTTCTAAGATAAGGATCAGGAGACTGTATATATGTTAATATCTCTAGTCATGAGTTAACTTATCATGAACATGAGCTAACTTATCACGTACATACATGCTACGGTTCCTATTACTCAGTAAATATTAAAAAAAGAAAGAAAATCATCCACAATAAAAAAAATACTAAAAAATAGAAAATGGAGTAAGTGTAGTAAAACTTAAAGACTTAGAGGGAATTATGTGATTAAATGTCCAGAAAAGTCTATGGAAGTTGAGCCAGATACAATGTGGAGACATCAAGTCTTTTAAAGAATGATCTTCCTGGGAAGACATTACAGAATGTTGTGTTCAAACGATTATCTTTTTCAGAAACCTCCAGTTCTCAAATCTATCTCGAACCTTCAGTTCTCAAATCTATCTCTATCGATTTCCAGTGAAGGTCAGTTGAACCTGTCTTTGCACACACTCAGTGTTAGGGGAATTAAAAATTTCCTTTTAGAAAATCTATCAAACTTGCCTCCATATTCAAGCTTACATTCTATCTAGTTTTGCACATTAGTTCCAATCTTACACCTTGAGGTTATTTAGAATAGATATAATCCATCTGTGTGACAGCCAGCCTTTGACATATTTTAAGTCCATTTTCTCCTACATTTCTTCATTTCCAATATATGACTTCTTAACTGGGATTCACTCATATTTTCTTCTTTTTCATTTTTAAATTTGGGCTGAGTATGGTGGCTCATGCCTGTAATACTAGCACTTTGGGAGGCCAAAGCGGAAAGATTGCTTGAAGCCAGGAGGTTAAGACCAGCCTACGCAACCTGTGAGACCTCATCTCTTAAAAAAAAAGTCAGCTGAGCATGGTGGTACATGCCTGTGGTTCCAGCTACTCATGAAGCCGAGGTGGGAGGATCACTTGAGCCTGGGAGGTAAAGGCTGCAGTGAGCTGTGATTGTACTACTGCACTTCAGCCTGGGTGACAGAGCAAGAATTTGTCTCCAAAAAAAAAAAAAAAAAAAAAACGTGTATGCATTGTACAAAATTCAGAAAATAAGTATATAAAGAAAATAAAAATCATCATAACACCATCCATCAAAGATAACCACGGTTAATATATTATTATTTTGGCAAAATTATTTTTGGTTCTTTTGGCTTTATGCAAAACTTTATATGATAAAGTTTTAATTTAATTTATATGATAAAGTTAGAATTAAATTGTGTATGCTTTAAATGTATTAATATAGCACAAAGTCTTGACAACCTAAATATTCATCACCAGCTTAATGAACAAATAAATTACAGAATGAATATATGACAGAATAAGATATAATTAAAATGTAGATTTCTCCACAGTCGTTTCATAAATGAAGAAAGCCTACAATTCCTAACAGAAAGTTGGCTGAGAAATCCTGGTGAGTAAACAAGGCAAGATTCAGAACATTAGTATGGTGGAAGCCCATTTCTAAGGAAACTATTATTATGAGCCAGGCACAGTGGCTCATGCCTGTAATCCCAGCACTTTGGGAGGCCAAGGCAGGTGGATCACCTGGGGTCAGGAGTTCGAGACTAGCCTGGCCAACATGGCGAAGCCCCATCTCTATTAAAAATATAAAATTAGCTGGGTGTGGTGGCGTGCACCTGTAATCTGGGTGTGCACCTGTAAATATAAAATTAGCTGGGTGTGGTGGCGTGCACCTGTAATCCCAGCTACTCAGGCAGTTGAGGCAGGAGAATCGCTTGAACCTGGGAGGCAGAGGTTGCAGTGAACCGAGATCGCACCACTGCACTCCAGCCTGGGCAATAGAGTGAGACTTCATCTCAAGAAAAAAATAATAATAAAAGATAAAAAAACTATTACTATGATTGTATACATGTCAATATATATATGTGGTGTTCTTGAAAAATATGCATCAAAATAAAAACAACACAAAACAAAATAAACACACAAAAATAAAAATACACATCAAACTCTTCTCAGGGATTACTTCTATGGAGAGAAATTATGAGAGACTTTCACTTTCTAATTCATATACTCCAGAAATAAATAAGTTCTTTAATTTTTATCATCATGCAACCATAAGTAGATTAGTCAACTCTAGGTTCCTCAGTAATAAAGCAAACAGTAAGCGAAACAGAATAAAGAAATAAATAACAAAACAAATTATTTCATGAGTCAGTCGTATTATAAAGTCCTATTATGAATCTGACCTGTTTTTCTAATTATATAAGTTTATAAACCTTTTTTCTAATTATATATTTTATATGCTATATATAATACAGATATTTAATACATATGGATATTATACAGATAATATATATTATCTTTTGGGGGGCATAGAGAAAAGCATAAAAACGAAAAGAATCTGACTATCTCAAGTATATCCCTGTTAAATATTTGATGTACTTCTTTCCATCACTACATATATTTTTAAATTTAGATTTTTTTTTTCTTCTTTTCTGTGGTGCAACATACATAAAATGCACTATGTGGCAAACGAATTTTTCCATATGAGTATACCTGGATAACATCCAGATGAGACGGAAAACAGTTCCAGCGTCTCAGAAGGGTGTTCCAGGACGCCCCTTTCTGGTCGACAACCCCTTTATCTGCACACACAGACACACATACACATGTGCATATACACACAACATATGGTAACAATTGTATTAGAATTCTAGAACCAAAGATTCGTTTTGCTTTTTCTTGAGTTTTATATAAACGGCATCTTACAGTATGTGCTTTTTGGCCCACCGTAATGTCTGTGAGATTTCCTCATGTTGTTGCATATACCACTAGTTCTTTTTTTTTTTTTTTATTTTGAGACAGAATCTCGCTCTGTTGCCCAGTTGTAGTGCAGTGGTGTTATCTTGGTTCACTGCACCCTCCCCCTGTCAAGTTCAAGCGATTCTCCTGCCTCAGCCTCCCGAGTAGGTGGGACTACAGGCACAGGCTACCACACCCAGCTAAGTTTTGTATTTTCAGTGGAGACGGGGTTTCACCATGATGGCCCAGGATGGTCTCTATCTCTTGACCCCGTGATCTCCCTGCCTCAGCCTCCCCAAGTGCTGAGATTACAGGTGTGAGCCACGCTGAGTGGCATTTATCCATTTCCTGCTAAAGGACGTTCTGGTTGTTTTTGGTTTGGGGCTAGTATGAATAAAGTGACTGTGAATATAAACATTATTTTACATGTATTTTAATGGACTTGTCTCTCCTAGGTATATACTAGGAGTGTGATAACTAGGTCATAGGGTAAGCACATACTGAGCTTACCAAAAATGACCAAATATTTTACAAAGCAGTTTTACCATTTTACACTTCTACCAGCGTTGAGAGCCGGTTGCCATGTGCACGTTATAGTTCATCTTCTTAGCTTTAGCCATTCTAGGGGGTGTGTAGTGGTAATGTAATGCTTGCTTATTCTTGGTTAATTTTGCATAGTTCTGGGAAGAATTTTTGACATAGTCTTCACTTTCATCGGTTCTGCTATTTTCTGCCATAATTATTTGGTCAGTTTTTTTTATTACCCAATCAAGAATTTATCTCACTTTTCCTCTTCAAGACTGCTGGGTCTAGATTCATAGCGTCTTCTTTAATTTGATCGAGGCTACAAAGCAGAGAGTTTCAGAAGTTTTCCATTTTTGCAGTACAATAATTTTCAGAATTGGCATTTTTAAATTTAGTATCTTGTCCACAATTCATTCTTTTCCCCCATCTTTATAAAAGGAGGTTGATATTTCTCCAGGACTGACATACGATTATATAAAATTTCAGGAGGAAATTATGTCTAAGACTTCGGTGTGATTCTACTTGATAAAGTGATTTTTCTTCTAAATTCTCATTCTAGGTATTGTTTTTTTCTTTTCTTCTTTTTTTGCTCAAAATCAACTTTGGTATCATTGGTGGTATCAATTTGTGAAGCTTAAAATTAGGATGAGATTGGCATATCTCCAGTTTTCTAACATCATGGTATAGATGGAAAAGCAAAAAGTTTTGGAGTTAAATGGGCCCGTGTTCAATTTCAGCCTGTGTTCAAGTTCAGCCTGTATCAGTAATAACTATTTAATCTTTCCATTTGATCTACTATTATGATTTGATTGAATCTTTCTGACCTTAAGAGTCGTCATATCATTTGTAAAAAGGTAAAAATAAGTATGCTTTATATTCTCTTCATTTGTCACAATGTTACTTCACTTTAGCATTTATTCCTTTATAATCCCTTCATGGCGATCTGAGTGGCTCGTGTGTACATCTTCATTTGGAGACTGTAATTTATTTGCAGCTGTGAGGAACACTGTGAATATCTCATCTTCCTTTTTGCTGTGCATCCCTTTTTAATTAAAAGGTCATTCTCTTTGATCAAAAATATCGAATTTAAAGAGGAGTTGAGAAATTTTGCTTCCTTGATGACAGCATGGAGGCTTCTTTTCCTTGACATTCTTGGGAAAGATCTAGCTTCCGCTTTTTCTTTTTCTTACTGCCAGATCCCAACCTCAAAATCCCATTTTAAAAATACAAACGGAGGCAAAATTAGAAGAAATCAAGGCGCATAAAAAGAGGCATTGCCAAAGCAGAACTCATGACGTAAAATTTCATCTGGATCTATCATGTACACGTTTAATTTCCGGTCTATTTTTTCCTGATTAACCTGCTGGTCCTTATCTCAAATACTAGCTTTGTTTCTGTTCCACAACATAGATTTTTGTAACCCTCACATAGCTTTCCAACTGTGCTGCTTAGGAGCCAACCTTTGCTCAAGATACCCCAAACTCTTAAAAAAGAGTATAATGATATTAACTACTTTCAAAACTTTCCTTGAATAACACGTTGAGGGGGTTAGACTTCCTAGTAATATTCTGTATCAGCCTGTCTTATTTGTTCTTGTTTATTACACTTTGGGTATTGCTCCATTTTCTTTAGATTTGGGATTTGGTGGTCAGAATTTCATATTGAAGTTTCCAAACATTCTTGAGGAACATTTCTTTTCAAAAGATCATGCTATGGAATCTTGCTTTTCTGTATACCTTCCAATTTTGTATGTGCCTGAATCTATCAAGTTCTTTTCCTCCTTTTCTGCCACGAAGTCTACCATGGTGTATGGGAAACTCTCCCAAAGTTATCTGACTTTTTTTTTTTTTTTAAATCTTCAACCAACATTTTCTTGATGATCAGAATTAGGCTTACAGTAGCAGTTTCTTTCTCATTTCCTCCATCTTTCTAGGAAGTTTAATCATTGGCAAGAAAAGTCAGGAATGTGTCAGGAGACCTATCTATAGCAACACATGTCTATATATATATATATATACACACACACCGTAATCATGTCTGTATTACAAGTCTACACTTGAATTATTCCCTTCACTATGAATCTTAAACAAACCTGTATCCAAAATTTATTATGCATTTCCTCCTTCTAGCTTGCAGGAGTTTCACAAAATGATATATAACTTGTTTCTTTCTCCTCCTATGGTCACCCACTGTTTTTATTTTCTGTACATTTCTACCTTCTAGATCTAGAATTTTAAGCATATAAATATTCCCTGATATGCAGCACTATTCTGATGCATCTCATATCTATCATTCTGCTATTACTTTCTAAGCTTAGGTTTCATTCTACCAAGTCTCAGCATTGTTTTACAAGTTACGACCTTGTTTTAAAATTTCTTCTTCTGGCTGGGCGCATTGACTCACACTTGTAATCTCAGCACTTTGGGAGGCTGAGGTGGGTGGATCATGAGGTCAGGAGTTCGAGACCAGCCTGGCCAACATGGTGAAACCCCATCTCGACTACTACTACCACAAAAAAAAAAAAAAAAAAAAAGGCCGGGTGTGGCATGCACCTGTAATCCCGGCTACTTGGGAGGCTGAGGCAGGAGAATTGCTTGAAACTGGAAGGTGGAGGTTGCAGTGAGCCAAGATTGTGCCACTGCACTCCAGCCTGGGCAACAAGAGCAAAACTCCATCTCAAAATATATACATATATGTAATTTTTTCTTTTTTTGTTTTTTTGAGACAGTGTCTCACTCTGTCACCCAGGCTGGAGTGCAGTGGCGTGATCTAAGCTCACTGCAGCCTCAATTTCCGGGGCTCAAGTGATCTGCCCGCTTTGGACTCCCAAAGTGCTAAGATTACTGGTGTGAGTCACCAGGCCCAGTTTGTTTTAAAATTTCAAGATGACTTTCCTTGTGAGATATATTCAATGAATTGAAATACAGGTATACGTGATGAAAAATTACTACTTTTCTGTTCCATAGTATTTATTCAGGCAAATAAATACATATTAGAACAATGGTAGAAACTAAGTGCTCAATTGCTGTTAGGTATCAAAATTTTAGCTGGGGTAGAAATCACTGAGTATTTAACCATCATTTCATTCTTTTCAATATTATGCCCTGAAATAGCTAGATGTATAGGTATTTCTTTTTCTTATATTTTCTTCATCCCAATTCTTTTAGCTTAAAACTCTCCCCATAGGGGAATCTCACACCGGGGACTGTGGGGCTCTGGGGGGCTAAGGGAGGGATAACATTAGGAGAAATATCTAATGTAGGTGATGGGTTGATGGGTGAAGCAAAACCACAATGGCACATGTATACCTATGCGATAAACCTGCACGTTCTGCATATGTACCCCAGAACTTAAAGTGTAATAATAATAATAATAAATTCTCCCTGTTAGAACCACATGTTCTCACTCATAAGTGGGAGCTGAACAATGAGAACACTTGGACACAGGGAGGGGGACATCACACACCGGGGCCTGTTAGGGGGTGGGGGGATGGGGGAGGGATAGTGTTAGGAGAAATATCTAATGTAGATGACAGGTTGATGGGTGCAGCAAACCAACGTGGCACATGTATACCTATGTAACAAACCTGCACGTTGTGCACATGTACCCTAGAACTTAAAGTATATATATAAAACACAACTCTCCCTGTTAGAGAAAATGTCATCCTGAGCAAATATATACATCCCTAAATTCATGATTTTCATTTTATTTTGTACTGTATCTGTCATTCTATATCTACAGCCCAGAAATCTACAATCAGTTCTTCACCTTCTAGAGTTTCTTCCTATTTCTTTCATCTGCGTGCAAATGATTAATAAGATGACGTGGTCTCACCATATTATCTGCTTCCATGTCCTCACATTTCCTGTCTTAGAATCTTAACATGGTGTTTCTGATCTTGTTTGAGAATGCCGTTTGTGGCCATACGAATTAGGATAGGCAGATAGTGTGGCAAGCTTAAGCAAGCTCAAGCAAGCTCTTTATCTGTGTCTCTCCTTCAGATGGATTCTGTAGCTCCTGGTGGATCATGACTACAACCCTGGGCTAAGGCACCACCATAAAACCTGCTTCCCACCTTGGCTGAATGAGTCAACTGCCTTGTATCACCAGGGAGACATAGCTAGAATATTATTTTCAGTTTTTCACTGTATTTAATTCTTCTACTCCAACTTACGACTAGGGTCTTGGTTCTACTCCACTGCCTGATTAGCTCCCCCAAGTTGCTGGTTCAAGAACTTCCCAATTTTCTTTTCTTTCTTTCTTTTTTATTTTTTTGAGACAGAGTTTTGCTCTTGTCACCTAGATTGGAGCACAATGGCGCAATCTCGGCTCACTGCAACCTCCGCCTCCCGGGTTCAAGCAATTATCCCACCCCAGCCTCTCGAATAGCTGGGATTACAGGCACCTGCCACCATGCCTGTCTAATTTCTGTATTTTTAGTAGAGACGGAGTTTCACCATGTTGGCCAGGCTGGTCTCGAACTCCTGACCTCAGGTGATCTGCCTGCCTCGGCCTCCCAAAGTGCTGGATCTACAGGTGTGAGCTACCACAGCAGGCTGAACTTCCCGATTTTCTGAGTGAACAAAACTCACATGGCACAGTTCTTTTCCCTTTACTGTTTCTTTTATTACACATTCCTGTTGTTCTGGAAAAAAAAAATTAAAGTCCCCCATCTCCCATATTCTTTGTGAATATAACAACTGGCTTGAATCTAGAGAATACCAAAGTAACTACGTAACTGTATGTGGCAAGAAGCTAAAAATATCATACTCTGAAAGTCACCAATGAAGACTCTTAGTTTCTTTTTCTCTTTTTGAGGATAGTTATCACAGGAAAAGTTATTATTCTTTGACTCCCTTTCATGAGTAACTTGGCTAACTGGTGAATCCAAGCTGCCTATTTCCTCTCGGTTCATGTCATCCTGACTCTAAGAGCCATGTTTAATTAAGCCATCCATTTTTTTCCTCTCATTATCTTAATATTTCCCTTCACTCAATTCACCAGGAGCACCAAAAACATTCATCAGTTATCCCAATTAACACCAGAAAACTATAGCCATTAGGTGCATCTCTCTGTTCAGTGCAAATGGCAGCTGTAACAGGATTTTTGTCTTGTTAAATAAACTCTACTTGCTAAGCCTGAAGAAACTAGGAAAAGAAACAATGATTTCTGGCTCTCTAAGAATTACTCATTTAGCATTCTCTGGATCCATACCTGTGTGCATAATTTTTGGGCAGAATAAAAGATAACTCAGTTCCAACATCATTCTCCAAAGTGGCTGTCGGTATATAATAATGAATTAATTTTGAGACTTCTTCAACATTACAGTCAGGTGTCTTCACCATGACAATGCGGTATCCCACACCTGAGAAAAATCCATGCAGAAGAACAAATAAAACGATTTTGTATTTCCCATACTTGTGAGATCACACGTGACTTTCATTACCTGGGTAAGCTAGAAGATAGGGCATGTCACAGATCATTAAATCACAACTCTAAGGAGCCTAATAAGTACTTCTTTTATAATTTCATTATTTCTCTTAGGGACTGATAGTGATCTGGATTATATAACCAGATAGAGCAGAGATAGGATGAAAAGCCTCGTTGTCTGGCTTCTCATCCTATTGACACTGAAATCTGAGAGGACAAGATTAATATGCATTAAAGAGATACTTGTTGATTGTCTACTACATGCCAGGTAGTAAATAAGTCAGATAAAAATCCTTTCAGAAATTGAAGAAATTGGCCGGGCATGGTGGCTTATGCCTATAATCCCAGCACTTTGGGAGGCAGAGGCAGGTGGATCACCTGAGGTCAGGAGTTGAAGACTAGACTGGCCAACATGGCAAAATCCTGTCTCTACTACACACAAAAATCAACACAGAATTCTATAAATGGCAAAAATATATTTTAAAAGTAGAGACAAACATAAATGAGATAATTCATTACCCACAAAAGTACGCTACAAGAAATGTCAAAGGAAGGGCTTTAGGCATAAGAAACAGTATATTTTAACTGAATGAAAATAAAAATACAACCTACTAAAATTTGTGGGGTGTTGCTAACACAGGACTTAGGAAGAAAGGTATAGCTTTAGATCCTATATTTGAAAGAAGAAAGGTTAAGAGTCAATGATTTAATGTTCCATCTTAACAGCTGGGCATGGTGGCATGGTGGCATGGTGGCATGTGCCTGTAACCCTAGTTACTCGGGAGGCTGTGGCAAAAGAATGGTTTGAACCCAGCAGGCAGAGGTTGCAGTAAGCAGAGATCACACCACTGCACTCCAGCCTGGGTGAGAGAATGAGACCCTCTCATAAATAATAATAATAATATTCCATCTTAAAAAGGTAGAAAATGAGTGAATGAATCCAAACTAAGAAACAAAAGTGAAATAATAAAGATGAACAATGAAATAAGTTAAATAAAAAACAGAAAAATGATACAAATAATAAAGCTAAAAATTCTTCTTATTCATAAGATGTATTATTAACAAGAATGATCAAGAAAAAAAAGAGAAAAACACAAATAATCAGTGTCCGAAATGAAAGTCAAGACATTAACATACGTAATACAAACATTTAAAGGATAATTAAGGGGATATTAGTTATCTGAAAAAATGAAAGTTATAAAAAAGTTCACAAAAAATAATGGAAAATCTAAATAGCCCTATATTTTTCAAAGAAACACACACACACACACACACACACACACACATATATATATATTTTTTTCACTCTGTCGCCCAGGCTGGAGTGCAGTGGCATGATGTTGGCTCACTGCAACTTCCATCTCGTGGATTCAAGTGATTCTCCTGCCTCAGCCTCCTGAATAGCTGGGAATACAGGCATGCACCACCATGCCCAGCTAATTTTTATATTTTTAGTAGATACAGGTTTCACCATGTTGGCCAGGCTGGTCTCAAACCTCTGGGATCGCTGGTCTCAAACTCCTGAGATCAAGTGATCTGCCTGCCTCAGCCTCCCAAAGTGCTGGATTACAGGCGTAAGCCACTGTACCTGGCCAAGAAATAGATTTTTAATTAGTAAAACTCTCCCAAATAGTACTCTTGAGACCCAGATGACACTTTACTGGTTAATTCTATCCAACACTGAAGAGAAAAATAGTAGAGCCTTACACAAACGCTTACAGATGACAAAAGAGAAGAAACACTTCTGAATTCATTTTATGAGGCCAAAATAAACCTGATATCAAAACTAGACAGAGATTTCAAGAAAAGAAAATTATAGACATTATAGACCAAAGTCCCTGATGAACTTAATATCTACAAATCAAATTCTGCAATTTATAAGTAATACATAATGACTAATAGGATTTATCCCAGGAATAAAAGCTTGGCTTTATCTTTCAAACATAAATGAATGTAAATCAGAACACAAACAAAATTAAAGAGAAAAAATATGAATATTCCACTAGATCCAAAAAGAAAAAGAAAAAAAAAAGCATTGATGAAATTCAATGTTTACCACATATTTTTAAAAACCTCCTAGCAATCTCCAGGAAATAAGAGAGAACACAAACAAATGGAAGAACATTCCATCCTTGTTGACAGGAAGAATCAATATTGTGAAAATGGCCATACTGCTCAAAGTAATTTATAGATTCAACGCTATTCCCATTAAACTACCATTGACATTCTTCACAGAATTAGAAAAAACTACTTTAAAATTTATATGAAGCCAAAAAAGAGCCTGTATAGTTAAGACAATCCTAAGCAAAAAGAACAAAGCTGGAGGCATCATGCTACCTGACTTCAAATTATACTACAAGGCTACAGTAACCAAAACAGCATGGTACTGATACAAAAACAGACACATAGACCAATGGAATAGAAGAGAACTCAGAAGTAAGATCGCACATCTACAACCATCTAATCTTTAGCAAACCTGATAAAAACAAGCAAAGGGTAAAGGATCTCCTTTTAATAAATGGTGCTGAGAAAACTGGCTAGTCATATGCAGAAAACTGAAACTGGACCCCTTCCTTACACCTTATACAAAAATTAACTCAAGATGGATTAAAGACTTAAATGTGAAACCTAAAACTTTTATAAAAACTGTAGAAGAAAATCTCGGCAATACCATTCGAGACATAGGCACAGGCAAAGGTTTGATGACAAAAACATCAAAAGCAATTGCAACAAAAGCAAAAATTGACAAACGGGATCTAATTAAACTAAAGAGCTTCTGCACAGCAAAAGGAACTATCATCAGAGAGAACAGATAACCTACAGAATGGGAGAAAATTTTTGTAATCTATCCATCTGACAAAGGTCTAATATCAGAAAGTTGGCAAAGGACATGAACAGACACTTCTCCAAAGAAGACATTTATGCAGCCAATAAACATATGAAAAAAAGCTCAATGTCACTGATCATTAGGGAAATGCAAATCAAAACCACAATGAGATACTATCTCACACCAATCAGAATGGCCATTATTAAAAAGTCAAGAAACAGATGCTGGCAAGACTGTGGAGAAATAGGAATGCTTTTACACTGTTGGTGGGAATGTAAATTAGTGCTACCATTTTGGAAGACAGTGTGGCACTTCCTCAAGTCCCATTACTGGGTGTGTGCCCAAAGGATTATAAGTCATTCTATTATAAAGATACATGCATGTACATGTTCATTGCAGCACCATTCACAATAGCAAATACATGGAATCAACCCAAATGCTCATCAGTGATAGACTGGATAAAGAAAATGTGGTGCACATATACTATGGAATACTATATAGCCATAAAAAGGAATGAGATTATATCATTTGAAGAGACATGGTTGGAGCTGGAAGCCATTATCCTCAGTGAACACACACAGGAACAGAAAACCAAACATCCCATGTTGTTACTTAAAAGTGGAAGCTGAACAACGAGAACACACGGACACAGGGAGAGGAACAACACACACTGGCGCCTGTCATGGGGGACAGGAGAAGGGAGAGCATTAGGATAAACAGCTAATGCATGTGGGGCTTAATACCTAGGTGATGGGGTGATAGATGCAGCAAACCACCATGGCACACATTTACCTATGTAACAAACCTGCACATCCTGCACATGTATTCTAGAACTTAAAATAAAACTTTTTTAAAAAAAAGAAAGAAAAAAATCTCCTAGCAAAAAAGGAAAATTCATTAAACTGGTAACAGGCTTCCAAGTAATCCTTCAGGAAATCTCATACTTAATGATGAACATTATACATTTCCCCTCTAAGATAAGGAACAAGGCAAGTCTGTCTACTTTTATCAATCCTATTCAAGAATGTGCTGTAAGTCCCATATAAGACAATAAGTCAAAAGAAAAAGATAAAAGGCATAAAGATGAGAAAGAAGCAAAATCTTCTGATTCACAAGTAATAGGATTGTGCATATAATCTACAAAAGTATCATCAGACCTAATGTATGAATAAACAAGTTTACAAGATACAAGGTCAATATAAAATTATTGTATATATAAATACTACAAGAGAAACATTGGAAAATGACACTAAATACTACCATTTGCATAAATATAAAAATGAAATACTTTGGAATACATCTAATGAAAGACCTTGACAATGAACACAACAAAATATAGCCAAAAATGGCCTAAACAAAACCTAAATAAACCAATAAATAATATGAAGCTCATATACTGGAAGACTCAATATTGAAGATGACCATTCTTCCCAAAATGATACATAGCTTCAAAGAGATCCCAAACAATATTCAACCAGAGTTTTTGTAGAATTTAACAAAATGGCTCTAAGATCTATAGGGAAATATAAAGGGCCTAAAATAGCTCAAGCAATTTTGGAAAACAAGAAAAAAGTTGACAGACTTATGTTACCTATTTTCAGAACTTACTATAAAGATCCAGTATTCATGACTGTTGTATTTGTAAAAGAATAGACCTATGGATGAATGAAACAACAGAAAAACCAAAAGTAGACCCACTTATAGATAGTCAGCTGATTTTTATCAAAGGTGCCAAAGCAATTCGCTAGAAAAAGGAATGTGTTTCAGTAAGTGGTTATGGATACTCACAGGGGGAAAAAAATCAACATCAACACCATTTGCAAAAGTCAACTTGAAATAAGTCATAAACCTTTAGAAGCTAGAACTGTAAAGTATCAAGAAGAAAATATAGGAGATCTCTGCAACCTTTATGTAGGCAAAGATATCCTAGAAAGGACACAAAAATCTTCAAAAAAATTAATAAATGAGCCTTAAAATTAAACATTTACACTCATCAAAAGATACTATTAAGATAAGTAGGCAAGGAACCCATTTGGATAAATATTCACAATCCATATATCTGACAAGTAACTCACATGAAGAATATGTGAAAGAACTACAAATGTTCAATAAAAAAGATAACCAACTTGTAATAGTGGGCAGAAGACTTAAACACTTCACAAAAGAATTTATGCAAATAGCCAACTTATACATGAAAATGAACTCAATATAATTATTCTTCAGGGAAATGAAAATTAAAAACACCAAGATAACTGTTTCACACCCACCAGAATGACTAAAACCCAAAAGGCAAACCAAAATGTTGGTGTGGGTATGGAGTAAGTGGAATTCTCAAACATGCTGACTGGTATAAAATATTACAAGCACTTTGAAGAACCTTTCAAAACATCACACACATAATTTATGACCAAGAACCCCACCAGTAAGTACCAAAATATTCCACTACTAAGTATTTTTATCCAAGATGAATTTTTAAGCAAGGGAGATCTTTAAGTTCACAAGATGGATTTTTAACCAAGAAAGATCTTTAAATTCATAGCACAGTTGCTTATGATATTTGAATTCATACATCATATGATAGAAATGACCTAAAACAACATAAAAATCTATGAAGATTTGAAGTTATGTACAATTGATCCATGCAATAATATAGATTAATCTCAAACGTATTGTGCTGAAGTAAAAAGAAACCAGGAACAAAATTATAATATATAATTCATTTATATGACATTCAGCAACAGGCAAAACTAATGTATGGTAATAAAATCAGAAAGTAATTGCCTCTGGGAGAGGTGAATTGATGAACACAGGCTCAAAAAAAACTTTCTAGAGTCATGGAACTATTTCGTGTCAATTATATTTAAAGAGTCAAAGAAGACTGATGTATAGGTAATTTTGAATAATGGCCTTAAAAAGTTAAGGAAGCTATTAGGACATACTTGGTATTTTACAGTTTAGAAAAATTTTTCATATTGTAATAAATTATTCCAGTCATATAGAAGCAATTTAGTACTTCTTTGAAAAACAAGAAACAGCAGATGTTTGATTCACTACGTTTCCCTTATAATCCATCAACCTGTCTGTCTGTCTATCTAACTCTTTGAAAGCGCACATGCATTTGGGAAAATTAAAATTTAAGTAGAAGCCATATGGAAAAACTGAACAGAAATTTTGGATAAAACAATAAATACAAAAGGGGGAAATAATTTTGAAAAAAAGGAGTATTATTTCAAAAAGCTCATAGTTGAATACTAATGAATAGAACAGAAGGAATCACTGAAGTTTTGGGTACCTAGAAAAAAACAATAAAACATATGTTTGAAGAATGTTATGAAGGCATCAATATCCTAAGAATAATCAAGGAGAGACAGACCATATATCTTTTTCAGGAAAATTGAAGAGCCACAGCACCGCACGGATCCCTTGACCATGATGGCTATGCGGTCACCCAGAACATCAGCTTCATCCATGTAGTGGGTGGTCAGTAGGATGGTACGATCAAGTTTAAAATGCTGCAGGAGATCCCAGGTGACCCTCCTTGAGACTGGGTCCATGCCAGATGTTGGCTCATCAAGTATCACTACCTGAAGACCAGAAAAACAAATCCATGACCATTGTTAAATATTATATACTGGTACCACTATTGTCTTACCAGTCATGGAGCTTACTTTGATTTTGCTTTTTCACTTGTTCAACTAGGCTAAGATAATAAGTTTAGAGGCTAAGTGCAGTGGCTCACACCTGTAATCTCAGCACTTTGGGAGGTCAAAGTGGAGGATCACTTGAGCCCAAAAGTTAGAGCAACATAGTGAGACCCTATCTCTACAAAAAACTTAAAAAATCAGTAAAAAGTTAGCTGGGTGTGGTGGCATGTGGCTGCAGTTCCAGCTACCTGGGAGGCTGAGCAGGGAAGATTCCTTGAGTTAGGTAGGTTAAGGCTGCTTTAAGCCATGATTGTGCCACTGTACTCCAGCCTGGGCGACAGAGCAAGACCCTGTCTCAAAAAATGGTTTAGAAAAAATTGAATTAGGAATGCTGGAATAATTACAAACCTATGGCCATTTTATACCAATGAGATCGATAATGTCAATCCCATCTGATTTTCATTTAGGAGGTTATCTTTAGAACGTTAGCTCCATAGCAGTTCTCAAATTTGTGTCAGCTGATTCTTTTAGAGTAGCTACAGTATGCAGTGGGAATCCATATTTGGCTTTTTTTGTTTGTTTGTTTACCTTGGAGCCCCCTATAAGTGCTATAATGATGGAGAGTTTGCGCTTCATTCCTCCACTCAGTGACTTTGACAATTTGTTACGCTTTTCTAGCAGGTTAAAAGTAGTCAGCATGCGGTCAATTTCAGTAGGCGTCATCTTTCCATGTACTCCTTTTATCTGGAAAAAGGAGCCAGAGTTTACTTGGTGCTTCCAACTTTACTCTTAGAAACATATTACACCAGCTTTTCTCTTACATCATTCATGTAGTAATTTATTCCCTTTGCTTTTCTTTATGTTTAAAGAAGAATTCATTAAAATCAATTTCGAACTTTGTAAGAATAAAAATATTCGTAGTAGCTAATCCACCTGAAGCACATGAATAGACTGGGGGAAAAGGAAACTTTCTTTTGCTTACCACAGAATAGAAATGAAGGTGTTCTGATACCGTCAAGTAGTTAAACAATAGGTTCTGCTGGGGACACAAGCCCAGTGATTTCCTAATCTGGACCATCTGCTTTGAGATACTGTATCCATTAATATAGGCATTTCCACTTGTGGGAGGATAGAGACCTGGAATCAAGCAGAAAACATAACAGAAACTTAGTTTTCATAAGGGAATGTGGAAACAAACTGCTCGTTAGCATATCAACTTTGAAATTTACATACGGATGACTCATTAGCATTAGCAATACTTCACACAGAAGAAAATTCTACAAAACACCGACAGTTATTTTTGAGGTGATGAACTTAGAAGTAATTTATTTTGTAATTTCCTATTTAACTGTATGTTCTATGTTTCAATGTGTATGAATAAGTGCAAATCATTTGAGTAATAAAAACATGAGAGAGTGTCACATTACAACGTGCCAGCATTGCCCATAAGCCATTTGACATTTATGAATTCTGTTTTAAGCTGTGCATTGCCTTAAGTTAAGGTGTATATGGTAAGCCCCAGGGCAACTACTAAGAAAATAACTCAAAACTATATAGTGAGAAAAATTATTAAAGGAATTAAAATGTTACACACTAGAAACTATTCACTTACTGCAGGCCGGGCGCAGTGGCTCATAACTGTAATCTCAATACTTTGGGAGGCCGAGGTGGGTGGATCGTTTGAGCTCAGGAGTTTGAGACCAGCCTGGGAAACATGGCGAAACCCTGTGTCTATTAAAAATACACAAATCAGCCGGGCATGGTGGTGCGTGCCTGTAATCATGAGAATTGCTTGAACCTGGGAGGCAGAGGTTGCAGTGAGCTGAGATTGCGCCACTACACTCCAGCCCGGCGACAGAGCGAGATTCCATCTCAAAAGAAAAAAAAAAAAGAAAAAAAAAAAGTGTATTCTGCTGAGTGGAATCCTCTATAAATGTCAATTAGATTGTTTTGAGTAACAGTGCTGTTAAGTTTTTCAGTAACTTTAATAATTTCTGTTTACTGGTTCTATCAATTGCCAGAAGAGTGGTGTTGAAGTCTCCAACTATAATTGCAAATGTGTCTATTTCTTTTTTCAAGTCTATCAGTTTTTGCTTTGAGCATTTTGATGCTCTGTTCTTTGACTGCATTCATATTAAGAATAGTTATGTTTTCTTGGTAGACTGACCTTTTTATCATTATGTAATGTCCTCTTTCCTCTTCCCCAAAATAAATACTAATTTTAAATTTTATAACAATTATTTGCAAACTTGAAAATAAAAAAGATGATTACAGTATGTATTGCAGAAATCACTAAACTGTAAACATCAAGAGGATACACAAAAGTCTCATTGCTTTATCTACAGTTTTTTTTAACAGAGTGGAACACCTACCTGAGAGAATGGATAGAGTGGTGGATTTTCCTGCCCCATTATGTCCTAGAAGAACAGTGATCTGCCCCTCATATAAATTCAAAGACAAGTCATTTACAGCTACTTTGGTAGTGTTGTGCGTTTGGAATACCTATGGGAAAAATCCCACAAATACTAACTTTATCACAATCACATTGAAAGACCAAGCACTCATATCAGCTATCAAAGACACAATACATCATCAGTTATGAGAAGAAAAATCAAAGTGTAAAGGAATGAAACTATGAAAAGAAATATTTGAAGGCATAACACAAGGTTTAGAATGTCACAGTAGATATACAAACATTCCCTGAGAAATCTTATTCATTACTGCTTTCTTTTCTATTTTACTTTATGTGTATAAATTTAAGGGGTACAGGCGCCATTTTGTTACACAGATATATGGTATAGTGGTGGGGTCTGGGCTTTTAGTGTAACCATGACCCAAATAATAAACACTGCTTCAAGTGATTTTTCATCCTTCATGCATCTCCCACAATCGCACCCTTCTGAGTCTCCAATGTCTGTCATTCCACACTGTATGTCCATGTATACATATTATTTAGCTGTCACTAATAAGTGGGAACATGCAGAATTTGACTTTCTGTTTCTGGGTTGTTTCACTTAAGAGAGTGGTCTCCAATTTCATCCATGTTACTGCAAAATACATGATTTCATTTTTTTTATGGCTGAGTAGTATTTCATCGTGTGTACATACCACAATTATTATCATTTTTAATTTTTAAAATTGTTTTTTGAGACAGAGTTTCACTCTTATTGCACAGGCTAGAGTGCAGTGGCACGATCTTGGCTCATTGCAACCTCCACCTCCTGGGTTCAAGCGATTCTCCTGCCTCAGCCTCCCGAGTAGCTGGGATTACAGGCATGCACCACCGTGCCCAGCTAAGTTTGTATTTTTAGTAGAGACGAGGTTTCACCATGTTAGTCAGGCTGGTCTCGAACTCCTGACCTCAGGTGATCCACCCGCCTTGGCCTCCCAAAGTGCTGGGATTACAGATGTGAGCCACTGTGCCCGGCTTATACCATAATTATTTCTTTATCCAATCATTTGTTGATCCAATGGATGACTGCTTTGTTTCAGTTTCCATCTTGAACTTATAATGCCACAATCTTCTTCAGTTAACGTCTTTGGCCTAATTTAGAGAACTGTCAATTGAAAATCACACATGGATATTTATCTCAAATTTTTTATGTGTAGACTAGTAGTGCTTCTGCTTAATACACAAGAAGGTGGAAAAAGAATCACTCCCAGTCTAGCAACAAGTAGAAGCTAAAAAATCTATGAAATTATAACTTTTCTTGAACCCATCTTAGAGGTAAGGTTTCCAGGCAACTAACCAGCCTGAAATTTAAACTTTCAAGGAGAGATGGCATATTAATATTTGCTTGTCTGGAGCAGACATGGGTACCTAGGAGCCAACTTGAGTACTTATACAAGCTAGTAAGAAGATTTAGGTTAGATTTTTTTTAAAAAATGAGGTGAAAACAGTTTAAGAAACACAATACTTAAATGGAAGAGTTGGGATTCAAGCCCATATCATTAAGAATTAAAGCATATTTTCCTTCTAACACAACCTATAGATGGTGAATAAAGGCAAACATCTTGTGTAATAGAAAAAAATACTATTGGGCTGGGTGTGGTGGTTCATGCCTGTAATCCCAGCACTTTAGGAGACTGAGGCAGGTGGATCATGAGGTCAGGAGATCGAGACCATCCTGGCCAACATGGTGAAACCCTGTCTCTACTAAAAATACAAAAATTAGCCAGGTGTGGTGGCGGGCACTTGTAGTCTCAGCTACTCAGGAGGCTGAGGCACGAGAATTGCTTGAACCCAGGAGGCGGAGGTTAGAGTGAGCTGAGATCACACCACTGCACTCCAGCCTGGCAACAGCGAGACTCCGTCTCAAGAAAAAAGAAACTATTTAAGTTTTTAAAAATCCCAAATGGTGGTAGGTATTTTCTTCCTAGGTGTCTTACACTGTCTTCTCCACAGACTTAAGCATCAGGCTTGCAACTGCTTATTTGAAATCTCTACTTGGATGAAGTCTGAAGTTCCTATATCCAAAAGTAAGCTCTTAATTTCCCAAACTTTCATTTAAAAACCAACAATAAACTAATCAAACTGTGACTTTTCCCCAGTGTCTCCAATATTCATAACTGGTCAACTAACCCCCCATTTCCTCAAGCCACTAAACCAACAGCCACATTAGTTCCTTCCTTTTCCCTCAATCCTACATCTAACCTATACATAAATCTTCAGTTATAACCTTAAAATACATTTTGCATCTTTTTTTTTTTTTTTTTTTTTTTTTTTTGACAGAGTCTCACTCTGTCACCTAGGCTGGAATGCAGTGGCGCGGTCTCGGCTCACTGCAACTCCACCTCTCAGGTTCAAACAATTTTCCTGCCTTAGCCTCCCAAGATTACAGGTACCCGTCACCACACCCGGTTAATTTTTGTAATTTTAGTATAGACGGGGTTTCACCATGTTGACCAGGCTGATCTCGAACTCCTGACCTCAGGTGATCACCCGCCTCGGCCTCCCAAAGTGCTGGGATGACAGGTGTAAGCTACCATACCTGGCCTGTTTTGAATCTTGATACTGCGATCTTCAGTGCCACCAGCCTGGTCCATGGTGCCATCATATGCTACCTGAGCTACTATCAAAGCCTCCAATTTGTCTTGTTTCCACTCAGTCCTCACAACAGCCAGAATGGTCCTGCCTGTCCAATTGTACACTGGCACCACTTCTGATTCAAAACATAATCAACATGTGAAGCGCTTTCCAACCCAAGGGTTTTGATTTTTTTCCATTTGAATTTTTTGTTCCTAGTTTTTTTTTTTTTCCTGGGGAGGGGGATGGAGTCTTGCTCTGTCATCTGGGCTGGAGTGCAGTGGCGTGATCTTGGCTCGCTGTAACCTCCGCCCCGCCGGGTTCAAGCAATTCTCCTGCCTCAGTCTCACAAGTGGCTGGGATAACAGGCGCCTGCCACCACGCCCAGCTAATTTTGTATTTTATTAGAGATGGAGTTTCACTATATTGGTCAGGCTGATCTTGAACTCCTGACCTCAGGTGATTCACCCGCCTTGGGCTCCCAAAGTGTTGGGATTACAGGCGTGAGCCACCCACCGCACCTGGCCTGTTCCTAGCTTTTCAACCATCTGGTTCATTCTCATCTAGTATCAGCTCCAAGGGCACTGTTTCAGGTTTGGGTTTCCAGGAAACAGTTCTCAATTAGAAGATTAGAATGTAGAATGAACATTGTCCAAATCAAAATGAGGTCACTTGTGTTAAAACAACAACAACAACAACAACAACAAAAACAAAACAAAAAAAACACAACACCTTACTAAATACATCTAGGGAAGGCCATGAAGAGAGAGTTCTCATGTACAAATGCCTGATAACAAGGGCTATCACAAAAGGCTCTGCAGAAACCACAACCTGGCAGCCGGGCACGGTGGCTCACACCTGTAACCCCAGCACTTTAGAAGGCTGAGGCAGGTGGATCACCTGAGGTTAGGAGTTTGAGACCATCCTGGCCAACATGGCGAAACCTTGTCTTTACTAAAAATCCAAGAACTAGCCAGGCATGGTGGCACGTGCCTGTAATTTCAGCTACTCTGGAGGCTGAGACAAGAGAATTGCTTGAACCTAGGAGGCAGAGGTTGCAATAAGCCAAGATCACACCACTGTACTCTAGCCAGGGAAATAGAGGGAGACTCTGTCTCAAAAAAAAAAAAAAAAAAAAAAAAAAAGAAAGAAAGAAAGAAAAGGAAAAAAGAAACCACAACCTTGCATAAAGGCCATTGCAGTCCTACACAAAAAATGTTTCTGTAAAGACGTCTGCCCAGCAACTGCCTGCCTGACCTCAGACTAGCACCATGCTTGTTATTAATCCTTGTAGCCAAAAGTAATTATCTGAAGCAATCACATAATCCTCTTAATTCTCCTTTAAAAATCTTTATAATTCTTTGCTTCCATGAATATATATATATACACACAATTTACCAAAACACATGAATGCTCTATTTCCAAGTAAATACCATTTTCTTTTAGAGAGCCTCTCTCTGTTATTGATATAAATGGTGTCAGAAGTGGGATCAAAGTGAGCTCACTTCAGAAGAATCAGCAGCCCCTGGAATCAAATGTGGTACAACTGAGGCCTCTACATTCTCTGTTTCCATGAGTTACTTTTTATGCCCCAGTGAATCTCTTCTCAGATTCTCATCCTCCCTCACTTTGGTGAGTGGTTTATGACTTCATGTGGGGTTTGTTTTGGTTGTAAGGCCACCTTAATAAAGAACCTTATCTCTCTCCTAGAATGATAAGACTTTCTTTTATGACAAGTCCTTTCTGATATAAAGACAACTACCCTTCTGGTTTGAGTATCTTGGATTCTACATAATTTATATCCTGTGTCTGAGGCATGTATTTCTGGTGAATTCACATGGCCTACATGCCTAGTTTAATATTTTGTTTGGTCTGCATGCCTGGGTTGAAGTTTTTGTGAACACTCTGATTTTGGTTTCATTTTGGCTTGCTTATGTGCATTTTTAAATGATTTGGCTCTTTCCCCTTGCTTGCTTCTAAAAACATTCTCAGAGTAAGAAAACATTCTAATGGTAGACGCAGATTCTAAAAGCTACTAGGATGGTCACTACCATCTAAAACACCAGTCTACACTCCTGATATTTGCTGACAGGATTAATGGGATTGCCTTTGCTCTCAAGAGATTAATAAGAACAAAATGGGATTCTCAAACATGAAGGAATGTTAGGTTTTCTGGGATTTGAGCTAGCATTATGGGCCATTTTGGAGCACATTTTTAAACCAACGGGAAAATTATGTTTAAAACATTCACAGCTGAAATGGTCATTCTCAAACGCTTTCAAAAGCTTCTAACTATAGAGTTGACATGTAGAGCCTTCTAAGTCCTCTATGATTTTTCCAGCCTACTCTGAATCTGCTGACTTTTCTACTGATGTTGAAATAAAACTCATTGCTTACACCATTCCAGCCAAGAATAAAAAAGTCTTAAAGGGCTTTCAAATTAATGGCTTGACAAATTACAGCAACCTGAACATTT